GCCTGGGGGCGCTGAGGCGTCTGGTGAGCAGTCTCCCGGGAGCGGCCGTCTCCGTAGTCGCTCCGCTGGTGCCTCGCCGCTGCACTCTAGTCGTCGACTCCCCCTCTCCCCACAGCAGCTGTTTGAGTGGTACGCTGGCCGTCAGGGTCACGCTGCTGGAGCTAGGGGCCCTAGTGCGGGAGGCGCTGGAGCTGGTGACTCTGCCACTGGAGTTGTTTCTACTGGAGGGTCTGGAGCTGCTGAGGGTGCTGGAGCTGGAGGTTCTGGAGCTGCTGGAGGTACTGGCGCTGGTGGCGCTGGAGCTCGAGGTTCTGGAGCTGCTGAGGGTGCTGGCGCTGAGGGTTCTGAGTCTGCTGTTGCGCGGCTTCCTTGGAGTAGCCGCCTTCGTCCGCGTGTGCCTCTCACCTCGCAGCAGCTGCACGACTGGTACGGTCGCCGTCAGGGTCGAGCTTCTGGAGCTCGGGGCCCTGCCGCTGGAGGTACTTCTGCTGTCGTCACTGGAGCTGGGAGTGGTGCTGGTCCCGGAGGTGCTCGTACTGGAGGTATTGGAGCTGCTGGGGCTGGAGGTGCTGAGTCTGAGGGTGCTGCTGCTGGAGACACAGAGGCTGGAGACCCTGGGACTGGAGGTGCCGGTTCTGGGGGTGCTGCTGTTGGTGGAGCTGGTCCTGGAGGAGCTGGCGCTGAGGGTTCTGGAGCTGCTGGAGGTGCTGGCGCAGGTAGCCCTGGAGCTGGAGGTTCTGGAGCTTCTGAGGGTGCTGGCGCTGGAGGTTCTGTAGCTGCTGGAGGTACTGGCGCTGGAGCTGGAGGTTCTGGAGCTGCTGAGGGTGCTGGCGCTGGAGGTTCTGTAGCTGCTGGAGGTACTGGCGCTGGTGGCGCTGGAGCTGGAGGTTCTGGAGCTGCTGGAGGTGCTGGAGCTGCTGGGGGTACTGGAGCTGCTGGTGCTGGTGTCACTGCACAGCCGCGCCTGTTCTTCGCTCCACCGTCTCCGTCGTCTCAGCCACCGCCTGACTCTGTGCTTCGCCAGGTTCTTAGTCTCCCTTTGTCTACTGGTCTTCCGTTGCAGCCTGGTTCACCGCTGCCTGCTCCTTCTCCTTACACTGAGCAGCTAGGGAGTCTTACTGAGCGTCGTGAGCCTGCGTCGCGTCCTGTCTCGCCTGTCTGTTCTGGTCGTTCCGGTCGTCGTGTTCCTCGTCCGCGTCTGCCGGCTGTACCCGACACCCACCTCGTAGTCCGGCGTCCTTCCTCTCCTCCACATCGTGTTCCTCTGCCGTCCCCTCCTGCGTCTCTTCTGCCTGTCGTTGCGGACCCCGAGTCTGACCGGTTTCGTGCTGAGCACCCTACTGTCACGCGTCTGCTAGCCACTGTTGTCACTGACCCGTCGTTTGAGTCTGCTGCTACGTCTGCCTTAGTTGCTGAGCTTGTTGACTTTGCTGCTGCCTGTCGTCTAGACTACGCCGCTAGTCTTGTTGCTGAGTCTGAGTCTGTCTGTCCTCCGTCCGTCGGGGGTGAGTGTGCTCTTGGCACGGACGTCCTTGAGGACAGGCAGGAGGACCTTGAGTGTCTTGCAGCCGCTGCGCCTCATCTCGTGTCCATGCTGCTTGCCCCTGAGGGAGACCCGGATGCTCCAGACATCCCGACCCCGCGCTCTTACGCTGAGGCGATCGCGGGTGAGTACTCCTCTCAGTGGCAGACAGCCATGGATGCAGAGATGGCATCCTGGAAGTCCACAGGCACCTACGTCGACGAGGTTCCCCCACCTGGGGCGAACATCGTCAGTGGCATGTGGATTTTCAGGGTGAAGCGGCCGCCAGGTTCTCTGCCTGCCTTCAAGGCGCGTTATGTTGCACGAGGTTTCAGTCAGCGAGAGGGAGTAGACTTCTTCCAGACCTTCTCCCCCACCTCGAAGATGACCACTCTTCAGGTGCTGCTGCACGTTGCCGCTCAGCGTGACTACGAGCTTCACTCTCTTGACTTCAGCACAGCCTTCTTACAGGGCAGCCTGCACGAGGAGACCTGGCTGCGCCGCCCACCTGGCTTCACTGGGTTGTTCCCTCCTGGTACCCAGTGGAGCCTCAGGCGGCCGGTCTACGGTCTCCGCCAGGCGCCACGTGAGTGGCACGACACACTGAGGATGACGCTTGCGGCTCTTGGGTTTGCTCCGTCGACTGCTGACCCGTCGCTGTTTCTGCGCACCGACACTTCGCTGCCGCCGTTCTACATCCTCGTGTACGTCGACGACTTGGTCTTTGCCACTGCTGACACTGAGGCTCTCGCCCTGGTGAAGTCGGAGCTGCAGAAGAGACACACGTGCACAGACCTGGGTGAGCTGACAAGCTATCTTGGCTTGCGGATCACCCGGGACAGAGCACGCCGCACCATCACACTGACTCAGTCACACATGGTGCAGCAGGTCCTTCAGCGCTTCGGCTTCACCTGGTCCTCGGCACAGCACACTCCTCTGGCTACAGGTCACTCGCTCTCAGCTCCACCTTCGGACGAGTCCGTAGAGCCGAGTGGTCCTTACCCAGAGCTAGTGGGCTGCCTCATGTACCTGATGACCTGCACTCGTCCTGACCTTGCGTACCCTCTTGGCCTTCTGGCTCGCTACGTGGCTCCTGGTCGGCACCGAAAGGTGCACATGGATGCTGCTAAGAGGGTACTACGCTACTTGTGCAGTACATCGGGCATGGGGCTCGTGCTTGGAGGACGGAGCGACGTTGTCCTCACTGGGCACTCAGACGCTTCTTGGGTTGACGACCAGGCTACGCAGCGGTCGTCACAGGGTTACACCTTCAGCCTTGGCTCTGGTTCGGTTTCGTGGCGTTCTACACGCTCGTCTTCAGTTCTCAGCTCCAGTTGTGAGGCTGAGATCTACGCCACAGCCATGGCTGCACAGGAGTTACGCTGGCTCACCTACCTGCTGACCGACTTGGGAGAGCGGCCTCGTTCTCCTCCAGTGTTGTACGTCGACAACAAGGCAGCCATTGCCTTGTGTGAGGACCACAGACTGGAGCACAGAACAAAACACATCGCTCTGCGTTACTTCCTGGCTCGAGAGTTGCAGCAGCGTGGTCAGCTTCGTCTGCGTTACGTGGCCACTCGGGCCAACACTGCTGATATATTCACCAAGGCACTTCATTCTGGTGATCATCAGCGTTTCTGCACCGTGCTAGGGCTTGTGCCCACTTTTCCTCACTTGCTGTAGGCTTTGCTTGTACTTTGATCTATATATATGTACTTGCATGCTTGCTTTGCTAGGTAGAGATCACTGTGCTGTTTGTGTTGCTTATATACCCCTGCATGTGAACTGGCCTTGTGGCCGCTTGCTTGTGCTCAGAATGCGTGGTGATCTTGAGATCCACCCTGAGCTTTGCTTTGCTTTGTTCTCTTGCTTGACCGGTCTTGTGACCTTTGGTTGTTCTTGCTTTCCCCCACTTTGCCTATGGGGGTGTGTCAAACCATGTTTCTATGTTGTAGGCTGTAGTGGGGTAGCCTCTACTGAGTACAACACTTTAGGGTTAGACATTGCCCTACTTGTACTCATCCTTGCTTCCTAGTCAATCATTCTTGCCTCTTGATTCTGACAAGCCGGGATTCGTCAACCGCACCAAACACATCGCGCTGCGGTACTTTTTCCTTAAGGACGAAGTTGACAAGGGCAAGGTTAATCTAACCTACTGCCCGACGGGTGACATGGCAGCTGACTTCCTCACGAAGAAGCTGTCACGTCAGCAGTACCTGCGCTGCTCCGAACTCAGCGGAGTAGACAAGCGGGTCATGACTCGCTACGGCCAGGAGTGAAGGGGGGTGTTACGAATAGTAATTATTGAAACACTACTGTGCACTCCTCACCGCAGCAAGCGAAGCACGCACTACCGAGATTGAAGGCGAAAGGGCGCAAGTGACGCGAAGGGTCGCACGGTTACGAAAGCATCTGGACCGTCGGGCAGACAGCATCAGGCAGGAGTAGTGGCGAGGATTCTGCCCGGACAGTCTCGTAACTGTCTGGAGTTGCACGGTTGGATTTCGATGTAATAAGGGAATGTACCCCTTAGAGTACATGGATAGCCAGGTCGATTGGTATTCCCTTGTAATCTTATTTTTTGTGCTGTATTTGCATGTTTTTATCATCTCAAGCATTTTACATTTACTCTGCTATTGAGGTCACGGGCCCACCACCACTACTCAGTCGTGTGCGAACCTTCCTGAGGTGATCCTAGGTACGATCAACTTCTGATCGCAACAAGTGCTATACGTTTAATGCGAAGAGTTTGCTACACAACAGAATACAGTGCTTTCAGATTCCGTATCAAACGCTCTAATCTGTGTCCATCTACTGTATTTGAAAAAAACAAAACTTTCATAATGCGCTTCACAAGTTTTTATGCATTCTCCTGTGCAAACACGATGTGAATGCTGGAATGAAGTAAAATCTCATATATTTGGGCTTTGTCAACTATATATATGCATTGCTATCATGTGGTTAAATTGCATGATAGGCGTTTTATCGAATCAACACGATTAACGAAAAGCGTCATTTTTATAATCCCAGTCGCTTATGCCTGACTGCCTCACTTCACTTCTGCTCTTTCTCTGCTTATGCTCACTTATGCTTATCCTTTACTCCGCCGACACACATGCTCATTCTCACCAACACCACCGTCGTCGTTAGCTTTCCTGGTGACATCCCGCGCTGTGTCCCCACGCAGCCGTCGCGCATCTCGTCCCTTTTAGTCGCATCCCACAGCGTCGCAGACCGTCGGATTAACTTCGCATGTAGCATCACAGATCCCCGCAGCACGCTCTGCTCGTCGCCATGCCGAGTTTCCTGTCGTCGTCGCAGCTCCAGTCGCACCGATCTGCGACGTCGCTGCCAACCACGGGTATTCTGCGATCGGCGGGATGGGATGACAGTAGCGACAAGCTCGAGGAGGAAAAGCGGCGCCTGTTGCGGAAACTCAAAGGACAGGAGGTAAGCTAAGCGCACACCAGAGGTCGTTATGACGGGTCTTATGATAACGGTTGTGATCGTATCGCGTATGCTGCGTGTTGCCCATACGGACGTCGCTTCTGAGGTTCGAACTTTTTTCGATCTTGGAAGTCCACCATCTGGTTTCCCCATCTTGCCGCCCCGATTCTCCCCTAATCGCGCAGTATTTGCTGTCGAGGGTGACCGCGGGTCGGCTCGCGCTCCCCGACGGCGGCGCGAAGCTGTCCGCGCAGGTGCGCAAGCTGCACGCACAGCTGCAGCGGGTCGAGTCGCTGCTAGCGGCGCACGCGGCGCAGCAGGCGGCGGGAGATGCGGACGAGCAGGAAGCGGACAGCGCGAGTGTCGCGTTTAGGGTTTCAGGGAGGAGAGAGAGTGGGGGAGGGAACGTGAACGGTGATGCTGCTGCTGTTACTGCTGCTTCCTCTGGTGGTGGCGGCATGAGAGGGGATGGGGGAGAGGCGATGATGGGGAGGATGGTGGAGGATGGAGCATATTCCACGACGAGTCGTGTGGCGAGGCGGGAGGGTGAGATGATAGGAGGGGACGGCGGAGCAGCAGGAGAGGATGGCATGATGCGAGGGGAAGGCGGAGTTGGAGTGGTGGATAGGGCTGCAGGGGAAGGCAGAATGGCAGAGGTGGTGGTAGAAGGGGTGGGTGATAGCAGCGGACTTGTGTCAACCGTTGCTGTTGCTGCAGTTGCTGCAACGCCCCTTACCAGCGCTGCCTCTGATTCTGTGGACGCTGCTGGTGCTGCTGCTACATCGGCAGCCGGCGGAGCAGAAGGGGTGGCGGAAGAAGCAGAGCGCAAGGAAAACGCAGAGCACCCACACACAGCGCAAGCAGAGGAGTGGAGGAGGGAGATTTACAGGTACAGAGACCCAGGTGCAGACAACCAAGGGGATAGCACAGGCTCATTCCTCGAAACCTCCATAAAACCTTCCCTCAAGCCATCTATTAAGCCATCCTCTGGGTCAGCTGCATCGGTGCGCACGCGCACGTCGTCTTTCCAGCCGTCCTGCTCGTCGGCTGCCATGCGCCGCCTCTGGTCGCTGCACCGCGCCGTGGAAACCACCATCGACGACCCCGCGCTGGAAGCTGCGGGCCGGGTGGAACAAGGCATGGGTGCAGGCAGTGCAGGAGGTATATGCAGCGCGGGTCGTGCCGGGAGTGCATGGATCGGAGGGAGCGGTGGGGGTGAAGGGAACAGAGGGAGTGCAGGGAGTGCAGGGAGTGCAGGAAGTGCAGGGACGAGGGTGTCTCTCCCTGCTGGGTCCAGTGCCCCTCGAGTGGGGTCGGATGGGCGGATGTATCGGCTGCACAATGGCAAGCTGGAGCGTGGGGGGGCAGATAAAAAGATTTCGCCGGAAGGCGTTTGGGCAGCCCGGGAGAAGGTCAGGAGGGACTTGATGTGGGAGGCGGAGCGCGCAGCTGCCCGGCTGGGCAGGGTGTTAAGGATCGGTGATGGTGATGGTGATGGTGGTGGTTGTGGTGGTGGTGGTGGTGATGGGGGGGATGATGGTGGCAGGGCTGCTGTGCAGAGTGCTCAGCTCAATACTTCTCAGAATATGACAGAAGTGGTTGCTGTAGCCGCTGGGGCTGCTGAGGCTGCTGAAGGGTCTGGGGCTTCTGCGGCTGCTGGGACTGCTGTGGCGCCTGCGCGGTGTGCTCGAGTGATATCGGTGCTGGAGGCGGCTCAGCTGCTGGCGGAGCAACGCACGCGTATTCGGGTTAGTCCTCAGTTTTTGTGCTCGACATCTTGCTTGCTTATTGGAATGCGTCTACAGTGTTCGTGCACGTGCATGTGTGTGTGTGTGTGTGTGTGTGTGTGTGTGTGTGTGTGTGTGTGTGTGTGTGCGTGTTGAATAAGGGGGATAATGTTAGTGGGAGGGGGGGCGAGAGTTGCATTTTTTTACTCTCTTTTTGTTTTTTTCCTGTTGTGTCCTTTTGCTCAGGAACATGAAGAAAAGATAATGGCATTAGCAGCAGCAGGCGCCCCTGATTTAAAGAATGGGGTGGACTTGGATCCCGCTCATGACGACGATGGTACATGGGTTCATGAAGATTTAGCGGATGAGTTTGAGGATGAAGATGATGCCTTAAATTGCGACGATGGCTGCGAGCCTTGATCCTAACCAAATGATTTAGGTTGTTTTTTAGAGTTGCGTGTTTTTGCAAGTCTGAGGTGGTGCCTTCATTTCCGTCACCTCAGAAAGTTCTCATCTACTGGCTCTTGGTGCGTTATTGACTGTACTTAGGGAAGTGTGGTCGGTGGGTGGGACCGTGCAATTGGCTCTTTTTGTCGCGGCGCCTGGAGTGTTGGCTCTTCTGTGGCCGCAACAGCCCACCGAGCCGAATTCTGCCAAGCAAAGTGCCAGTTCGTGCAGATAATACTGTACACTGTTACTCTGTAACGAGCCACCTCACCCCAGTCGTAGCGCCTCGCTGTGGCGGTGGTGGTTGGTTCTTGTGCTACGGTGGTGTAGGCTCGGTGGTGCACTGCGGGAAAAGTGGACGACGTGACGTGACGTAAGCCCAAGCAAACCAAAGCCCATGCCATCCGCGCACTGTTGGCACAACTTGCCCCATGGTGCTCAACTTGTCGCACGTTGTTTTGGCGCTGTGCGTTTACTGTTTCTGAAACCCTAGCTCAATGTTCAGTGCTTCACTCTCAGAATCACACATATTCCTACGGAATATGCCTTTCCACTCACTGCCACGGCGTGGCCGTGTCGTGCGGGCTTCTAAGAACCATGTCGCGAGAAGTATCGACATTGGAGCGCGTGACCCCGCATTCCCGAGAAAACGAGGGGCTACTGATTGATACAGTGCCGCAATTTCAGCTTAGAAGCCCTCGGCCAGCGGTACCACGTGGTGTGATTGCAGCAATACGGTGAATTAAGCAGGGAACCGCCGCCTTGCCGTGATGCATTGACGGCGACGGGTCCTAAACAGTAACGGGGAAGCAGACTCGGAAGGGGTTTCCCGGGCACACCTCCTGGCGGGGAGGGGAGGCGTTGAGAGTCCGTGCGTTCACACTGTGAGGGGAAGAGGGGAGAAAACGACCTCAGATTGCGGGCGCTGGCGGATAATGTAACGGGTGGGTTCAAACGTAACGACTGCAACCCCCAGCTTTGCTGCTCGGCGCGCTTCAACGGAATTTCGGGGACAAGCAGCGCCCTACTAGAGACCCTCTTTGGACGACGCAGATTCCAGCTAAACGGATGGTCATGATTGTCGGCGGCGGCGGCGGCGGTGGCGGTTGCGGGCGACATGCGGGGCGTCGGGTGCAGCCGCATCGTGGCTCGCCAGCGTTTTTTGAGACGTTTGAAATTTCGGCAGCTGCCAGTCGGCTGTTTGCTGCGTTGCTGATCGCCCTGCTCTGCACAGCGCCGATCGCGCCGTGTGCTGCGGCGTCAGGTAACAGGGAAATGCAGTGCGGTCGATGGTTTGGGAGTGGGGAATCGGGGGGCGAAGGGGAATAAAAGGGGGATGAGGGATGGGGGAGCACTGATATGAGAGGATTCGAGTTAGGGGGTGATTCACGAGCAGCAGTAAATGGGGGTGCATGTGCATCAATAATCTTTCTCAACCCTTCGCCAAAACAACCCCTAACTTGAATCGCCCCCCCACCGGATTCACCCCCCACTCCAATCACTGTCTCACCTTCTCATATTCAAGCTGCCTACTTTGAGGGCAGGTGCTCGTGCATGCAGGCATGGGTGGGGCCATGGGTGGGTGCATGGGTGGGGGCATGGATGGGAGCATGCATGGGCATGGATGTGTAGCCTTAAAACCCCCCTCTCCGCTTCCCTACCTTTCACCCGCTCCGCTTCAGGCTGTCCACTACTGGAGCGGGTGCATGTGCGTGCGGGCGTGCATGGGTCCGCAGCACCAGGCTGCTGTGGCTACTTCCCCACCCCTTTCCCCCTCTCCCCTCTCCTCTCCCTCCGCTTCAGGCTGCCCACTGCTGGAGCGGGTGCACGTGCGTGCGGGCGGGCATGGGTCCGCAGCACCAGGCTGCTGTGGCGACGCCGCCACTCCCTGTGGTACGTGCCTGCTCCACCAATTGAGCCTCCCCCATATAAGCCTGAGCTTTGCATCTGTGCACGTGTGTGCGGGCGTGCACGGGTCTGCAGCACCAGGCTGCTGTGGCGACGCCGCCACTCCCTGTGGTACGTGCCGCCACTCCCTGTGGTACGTGCCGCCACTCCCTGTGGTACGTGCCGCCACTCCCTGTGGTACGTGCCGCCACTCCCTGTGGTACGTGCCGCCACTCCCTGTGGTACGTGCCGCCACTCCCTGTGGTACGTGCCGCCACTCCCTGTGGTACGTGCCGCCACTCCCTGTGGTACGTGCCGCCACTCCCTGTGGTACGTGCCGCCACTCCCTGTGGTACGTGCCGCCACTCCCTGTGGTACGTGCCGCCACTCCCTGTGGTACGTGCCGCCACTCCCTGTGGTACGTGCCGCCACTCCCTGTGGTACGTGCCGCCACTCCCTGTGGTACGTGCCGCCACTCCCTGTGGTACGTGCCGCCACTCCCTGTGGTACGTGCCGCCACTCCCTGTGGTACGTGCCGCCACTCCCTGTGGTACGTGCCGCCACTCCCTGTGGTACGTGCCGCCACTCCCTGTGGTACGTGCCGCCACTCCCTGTGGTATGTGCTTCCACCAGTTGAAACTCGCCGGCTTCCCCTTTCCTTCCCTGCTCCCTAGTCACCCTGCACCCTTGCTTGCACCCTCCTGCACCCTCCTGCACCTTACTGCACCTTGCTGCCCTTTCTTGCATCAAATAAACCGGGTCTAGCCTGCACGAGTTTGTAGCCTGCCTGCACTGCACTCCCCTGTGGCATCATTTTGCATTCCGATTTCGCCCTTCCAGCTTTCTATTGACTAACGACCGCTTCTCATGCGCTGCTTGTGTTTCATGCTCTGTGCGTGCGTGGGCTTTGGTGCATGCCATGCTATGCCATGCCTCATGCCATGCCATGCGATGCCATGCCATGCCATGCCATGCCATGCCATGCCATGCCATGCCATGCCATGCCATCATGCATGTGTCTGCATGCACCAGGGACATTGGAGCTGGCTCTCTCAATGTGAGTGAAACAACCCACCCTCCATGCCCTCAACCCAACCCACCCTCCACGCACTCAACCGCTCTCCACCCAATCGTTTCACTCATCACCTCTCTGCACTCCGGGCCCATTCGCCGCACCTCGCCTTGCTGCGTTTGTCTGTCCACACTCCTTGTCCCCACGTTGCGCGCAGCACTCTCACTTGCTGCAATTGTCCTCCGCACTCTTCGATGCTACCATCTCCACATTCGACTTTTTGAGGCGCGTCAAAAGCTCACCCATGCTCACCCATGCTCACCCATGCTCACCCATGCTCACCCATGCTCACCCATGCTCACCCATGCTTACCCATGCTCCCTCCCCCCAGGTTGCCCCCATCAGGCGGCGCCCTGCTTCTCTCCCCGGGCACTCACCGCCTTCCCACTACCGTTCTTCCACACGAGCACCCAACCATGCTAACCCCACGTCCTTGCTCACCCATGCTCATCCATACCCACCCTCCTTCCCAGGTTGCCCCCATCAGGCGGCGCCCTGCTTCTCTCCCCAGGCTCCCACCGCCTTCCCACTGCTGGTCTCTCCCCTCGGTGCCCGATCCATCTCCCTCCTCACCGCTCTCCCCGTCCTCCCCTCCCTCCCTCCCAACGATGTTCCCTTTGCTCATCCATGCTCGCTCCCCCCAGGTTGCCCCCATCAGGCGGCTCCCTGCTTCTCTCCCCGGGATCTCACCGCCTTCCCACTGCTGGCCTTTCCATCGGTGCCCGATCCATCTCCCTCCTCACCGCTCTCCCCGTCCTCCCCTCCCTCCCTCCCAACGATGTTCCCTTTGCTCATCCATGCTCGCTCCCCCCAGGTTGCCCCCATCAGGCGGGTCCCTGCTTCTCTCCCCGGGCTCTCACCACCTTCCCACTGCTGGCCTTTCCATCGGTGCCCGATCCATCTCCCTCCTCACCGCTCTCCCCGTCCTCCCCTCCCTCCCTCCCAACGATGTTCCCTTTGCTCATCCATGCTCGCTCCCCCCAGGTTGCCCCCATCAGGCGGGTCCCTGCTTCTCTCCCCGGGCTCTCACCGCCTTCCCACTGCCGGCCTCTCCCTCGGCGCAAGATCCATCTCCCTCCTCGCTTCCCTCCCCTCTCCTTCTTCCAACCCTCCGCCTCCCTCTCCTCCTCCTCCTCTTCTTCGTCCCTCTCTTCCTGCTGTCCCCGCTGCTGCACCAATTATTGATTGTGGAGGGGGGGCTTGTCTCTCTGCCATTTGCGATCCAGCCACTGCCGTGGTGCCATGTGGCAGCGCGCAATTGGTCCTCGCAGGGATCACCGTGCGGAACGGCCGGGCCGGCGCGCCACGTGGCGGCTGCCTATCGGTCGAGAACCAGGCCGTCCACGTCAGCAACGCGTCCTTCGCCGGCTGCTCTGCGGCCAGTCACGGCGGCGCGATTTCGGTCCTCAACGCGCCACGTGTCACGCTCTTGCGCGTCCACGTCAGCGCCTCAACCGTCTCAACTCCCGCAGGAGGTGGCGGGGGCGTGGCGTTTCGGAACGTGACTATAGCGAGCGTGACAGACTGCTGGTTCGAGGGGTGTACGGCGAAGGCCGGTATCGGGGGAGGTGTTTACTGTGAAGCCAGTGGGTTGGAGGTGCGGGGAGGAGGATTCTCGCGCTGCTCTGCTGATGCGAATGGAGGCGGGCTGGCAACTAGCGGGTGCTCAGGGCGCATTGATGGCGTCAGCTTCTCCGATAATAAGGTGTGTGTGGTGATGTGTGTGTGTGGGGATGGGTGCACGGGGATGGATGAGCGTGTGATGATGCCTGGAGGGGGGCTGGCGAGTAACGGGTGCTCAGGGCGCATTGATGGCGTCAGCTTCTCCGATAATAAGGTGTGTGTGGTGATGTGTGTGTGTGGGGATGGGTGCACGGGGATGGATGAGCGTGTGATGATGCCTGGAGGGGGGCTGGCGAGTAACGGGTGCTCAGGGCGCATTGATGGCGTCAGCTTCTCCGATAATAAGGTGTGTGTGGTGATGTGTGTGTGTGGGGATGGGTGCACAGGGATGGATGAGCGTGTGATGATGCCTGGAGGGGGGCTAGCGACTAACGGGTGCTCTGGGCGCATTGAGGGTGTCAGCTTCTCTGAAAATGCGGTTCGTGTGGTGATGGGTGGGTGGGGATGGGTGGGTGCGCGTTGGAGCTTGCGAATGGATGGGGCATGATTTGGTGGGGATGGGCGAATGGATGGGGCATGATTTGGTGGGGATGGGCGAATGGATGGGGCATGATTTGGTGGGGATGGGCGAATGGATGGGGCATGATTTGGTGGGGATGGGCGAATGGATGGGGCATGATTTGGTGGGGATGGGGCTGGAGGGGGGCTAGCGATTAGTGGGTGCTCTCTGGACGCATTGATGGTGCCAGTTTTCTGAAAATAATGTCTGTGGGGATGGGTGGGTGGGGATGGGTTTCTGGCAGACACCTCCTCCTTCTCCTCACTGTCTCCCTCTACCACGGCGTTGGTACCTGTGATCCCCCCTCTCCAACTCACGCGCTCTCTCCCTCCCTCCCTCCATCTCCCACCCCATCAGGCCACCATCGGCGGCTGTATGGCAGACACCTCCTCCCCCTCCCTCACCGTTTCTCCTTCCGCTTCTCCTTTCCTCCTCTCTCCCTCTTCCCATCCCTTCCTCTTCCCCTCCCTTCCTCCCTCCCCCCCCAGGCCACCATCGGAGGCTGTATGGCAGACACCTCCTCCCCCTCCCTCTCCTTCCTCCACAGCATTGACATCTGAGTTCGCCTTTCCCCTATTCCCTCCCTCCCAACCCCTCCCCTCCTCCCCATCAGGCCGCCATCGGGGGCTGTATGGCAGACATCTCACCCCCCTCCCTTGCCGTCTCGCGCTGCTCCTTCCTCTCCTGCCTCGCCGCCAACCCACTCTTCGACCCATACACCAACTACATGCGCCTCCCTCTCCCTTCCGTCTCCCCCTCACGGTCTGCCTTTACCACAGCATTGACATCTGTGTTCCCCTCTCCCTCCCTCCTCCCTCCCTCCCCCCCACGCCCTCCCACCCTCGTCAGGCCACCATCGGCGGCTGTATGGCCGACACCTCCTCCCCCTCCCTCGCCGTCTCGCGCTGCTCCTTCCGCTCCTGCCTCGCCGCCAACCCACTAGCCGACCCCTACGCAACCTACATGCGTGGCGCCGCCATCCACGCCAACCACACCTCCTCCCTCTCTGTCTCCCTCTCCTCCTTCCTCAACGGATCTAGCGCCATGGGCGGCGCGGGGATCATGGCTTTAAGAGTCGCCAACCTCACGGTTACCGCCTGCGCGTTTCGCGGTAACCATGCGTCAGTCCCAAACGGCGGTGGAGGGGCGGCACTCGAAGGGCAGGACAGCAACGTGACCGTCCGGCACTCCCAGTTTCTCAACAACCTTTCCGAATCCCCCATGATGGCCTTCGGAGGCGCAGTCTACCTCATAGACTGTCCTAGTTTCGTTTCCAACTGCTCGTTTGTCGGGAACGAGGCGAGGCACAGTACGGACGCGGCGACGAGTCAGGGAGGGGCGCTGCTGCATTCGTGGGGGATGATAAAGGACCCAGCGCGGATCGAGGTGGAGGACTGTGTGTTTGAGGGGAATACTGCGCGGTTTAGCGGCGCGGCGAGATTTGAGAGCGAGACGATCGTTCGGCGGACGAAATTCCTCCGCAACTCGGCGACTTTCCGCCTTGCTGGTGCTGGTAGGTTGGGTTGGGGCAGCAAGCAAGCAGGCTGGGTGGGTTGCTGCATTCGTGGGGGATGATAAAGAATCCAGTGCCGATAGAGGTGGAGGACTGTGTGTTTGAAGAGAATACTGCGCGGTTCGCAGGTTGAGCGAGCTTTGAGAGCGGGGCGGTGATTCGGCGGACAAAATTCCTCCACAGCTCGGCGTCGTTCCGCCTTGCCGGTGCAGGTAGGTTGCGTGCGGTACCAGGCTAGGTTTGCAGCCGGCTAGCTAGTTTGGAGAAGCCTAGATCCCCTTTCCAACGCATCCGTTCCCCTTTCCTTTCCCCCATTCTCCCCCTCCCTCTCCTCCCATTCCTCAGCGCTCTTCATGCGGGAGGCAACCGTTGAAGATTGTGAGTTCAGTCACAACACAGTGTTGCACAGCGGAGGGGCAATCGCCACTGGGGGCGTTGGGGTGGCTGTGGGCGTGTTGTGGCGATTCAAGACGTGCCCTCCCCAACGCTCTCGTTCCCTCTCCCTCTCCCTCTCGCTCGCCCCCTTTCCCCCATCCCCAAGCAGCGCTCTTCATGATGGAAGCGACAATAGAGGATTGCGAGTTCAGCGGCAACACAGTGCTGCACAGCGGAGGGGCCATTGCCACCGCTCCCTCTCCCCTTTTACCCATACTTCCCCCCACACTCCCCCTTCCCATCCCCACCCCTCAGCGCTCTTCATGATGGAAGCGACAATAGAGGATTGCGAGTTCAGCGGCAACACAGTGCTGCACAGCGGAGGGGCCATCGCCACCGCTCCCTCTCCCCTTTTACCCATACTCCCCCCCACACTCCCCCTTCCCATCCCCACCCCTCAGCGCTCTTCATGATGGAAGCGACAATAGAGGATTGCGAGTTCAGCGGCAACACAGTGTTGCACAGTGGAGGGGCCATCGCCACTGGGGGCGCTGGGGTAACCAACATCACCCGGACTGCCTTTCTCAACAACACTGCTCTTTCAGCGGAGGGCGGGGCGATCGTTGTGCAAGAGGTGGGGTCAGGGGGTGGTTGGGGTAGTAATAGTAGTGGTTTAGAGGGGTGAAGGGCAGTAGCCACGGGGGGTGTTGGGTTAACGAACATCACCTGGACTGCCTTTCTCAGCAACACTGCCCTTTCCGGGGAAGGGGGGGCGATCGTTGTGCAAGAGGTGGGTGGGCTAGGCGGGTGGTTGGGTTAGCAGGATGAATGGAGAGGGGAGGGCCCATTGCTACTGGGGGCGCTGGGGTAACCAACATCACCCGGACTGCCTTTCTCAACAACACCGCTCTTTCAGCGGAGGGCGGGGCGATCGTTGTGCAAGAGGTGGGGTCAGGGGGTGGTTGGGGTAGTAATAGTAGTGGTTTAGAGGGGTGAAGGGCAGTAGCCACGGGGGGTGTTGGGTTAACGAACATCACCTGGACTGCCTTTCTCAGCAACACTGCCCTTTCCGGGGAAGGGGGGGCGATCGTTGTGCAAGAGGTGGGTGGGCTAGGCGGGTGGTTGGGTTAGCAGGATGAATGGAGAGGGGAGGGCCCATTGCTACTGGGGGCGCTGGGGTAACCAACATCACCCGGACTGCCTTTCTCAACAACACCGCTCTTTCAGCGGAGGGGTAACTAACATCACCCGCACCACCTTTCTCAACAACACTGCTCTTTCAGCGGAGGGCGGGGCGATCGTTGTGCAAGAGGTGGGGCTGAGGGGTGGTTGGGGGGTAGTAGTAGTAATGGGGATGGAAGCGGGAAGGGCAATATCTACAGGGGGTGTTGGGCTAACCAACATCACCCGCACCACCTTTCACAACAACACCGCCCTCGTGCCCCACTCCCTCTTTTTCAACAGCACTGCTCTGCTCTCTGCTCTCTGCTCTCCGCTCTCTTCTCTCTTCTCTCTTCTCTGCTCTCTGTTCTCTTCTCTGCTCTCTTCTCTGCTCTCTGCTCTCTTCTCTGCTCTCTGCTCTCTTCTCTGCTCTCTGCTGTCTGCTCTCTGCTCTCTTCTCTGCTCATCTCAATGCTTCCTGCAGGGCACCGGAGGCACTGTCCTCGTGTCCCACTCCCTCTTTTTCAACAGCACCCCTCTGCTCTCTGCTCTCTGCTCTCTGCTCTATCTCGCTCTGCTCTACGTCTCTCCTCTCAACCCGGTCAACCCCCCGTTGCGTCCTGCAGGGCACCGGAGGCACTGTGCTCGTGTCCCACTCGCTCTTTCTTAACAACTCCGCTCTGCTCTCTGCTCTCTTCTCGCTGCTCTCTTCTCTCTGCTCTCTGCTCATTCCATTTTTTCCTGCAGGGCAACGGAGGCACCGTCCTTGTGTCCCACTCGCTCTTTCTCAACAACACTGCTCTGCTCTCGAAAGGCGGAGCCATCGCGTTCGCGGGCAACATACTCGCTATAGACAACTCCACTTTCGTTAACAACTCCGCGTTGGTGAAGGGCGGAGCGATATCAGGTAAGCAGCTCGCAGGGAAGGTAAGACAAGGTACACACGGGGATGGAATGAAAAGGAGAGTTTCGGTAAGGTGACGAACCGTGAAGGATTGAGTGGTTACGGGAGTGCGTACTATACTATTGATAAGGCAACAGACTGAGATGAGATGGATGGTTTGGGTGTCAGAGTCAGAGTGTGCACAACTGTGCCCCTTAGTTGGAATCGACGGAGCCAGCGTTTTTTACGCTAGCGTTTTGACGCTATGTTTATTACGCTGGACGCAACCCTCCAAGATTTTGACATTGGTTTTGACGCTCTGGCGGGCAGGCAAAAAAAACCCTTCGGGCAGCAAAAAAAACCAGGGGGGGTGGGGCTCGGGGGAGGGGGGGGGGGAAAGAAGGTAAGAGGGTCGGGAAGGCGCTGGCCTGCTCTTCCCAGCCTCAACCGTAACATGCTCCTCCTCCTTCCCCCTCTCCCCTTCTTCCCACTGGCTCATCTCCCTTCTCACCCTTCACTCACAACTTCCCCCTTCTCGTTCCTCTCCTCCTTATGCCTCTTCTCTCTCTCCCCCTTGCCTCTCCTCTCTCCCTTCTCCCCTCACCCCCTGTCTTCACCTTCTCTTCCTCTCTATCCCTCTTCTCCTGTTGTTTTGGCGGTTTCACGGTTTCCCGGTTTCCCGGTTTCCCGGTATCCCGGTATCCCGGTATCCCGGTTTCCCGGTTTCCCGGTTTCCCGGTTTCCCGGTTTCCCGGTTTCCAGGTTTCCCGGTATCCCGGTATCCCGGTATCCCGGTATCCCGGTATCCCGGTTTCCCGGTTTCCCGGTTTCCTGGTATCCCGGTATCCCGGTTTCCCGGTTTCCCGGTTTCCCGGTTTCCCGGTTTCCCGGTTTCCAGGTTTCCCGGTATCCCGGTATCCCGGTATCCCGGTATCCCGGTATCCCGGTTTCCCGGTTTCCTGGTATCCCGGTTTCCCGGTTTCCCGGTTTCCCGGTTTCCCGATATCCCGGTATCCCGGTTTCCCGGTTTCCCGGTTTCCCGGTTTCCCGGTATCCCGGTTTCCCGGTTTCACGGTTTCCCGGTTTCCCGGTTTCCCGGTTTCCCGATATCCCGGTTTCCCGGTTTCCCGGTTTCCCGGAATCCCGGTTTCCCGGTTTCCCGGTTTCCCGGTATCCCGGTATCCCGGCATCCCGGTTTCACCGTTACCCGGTTTCCCGGTTTCCCGGTTTCTAGGCATCTCGGTATCCCAGTATCCCGGTATCCCGGTATCCCGGTTGTATCCCGGTTTCCCGGTTTCCCGGTTTCCCGGTATCCCGGTTTCCAGGTATCCCGGTATCCCGGTTTCCCGGTTTCCCGGTTTCCCGGTATCCCGGTATCCCGGTATCCCGGTTTCCCGGTTTCCCGGTATCCCGGTATCCCGGTATCCCGGTTTCCCGGTTTCCCGGTTTCCCGGTTTCCCGGTATCCCGGTTTCCCGGTTTCCCGGTTTCCCGGTTTCCCGGTATCCCGGTATCCCGGTTTCCCGGTTTCCCGGTATCCCGGTATCCCGGTATCCCGGTTTCCCGGTTTCCCGGTTTCCCGGTTTCCCGGTTTCCCGGTTTCCAGGTTTCCCGGTATCCCGGTATCCCGGTATCCCGGTATCCCGGTATCCCGGTATCCCGGTATCCCGGTTTCCCGGTTTCCCGGTTTCCTGGTATCCCGGTTTCCCGGTTTCCCGGTTTCCCGGTTTCCCGGTATCCCGGTTTCCCGGTTTCCCGGTATCCCGGTATCCCGGTATCCCGGTTTCCCGGTTTCCCGGTTTCCCGGTTTCCCGGTTTCCCGATTTCCAGGTTTCCCGGTATCCCGGTATCCCGGTATCCCGGTATCCCGGTTTCCCGGTTTCCCGGTTTCCTGGTATCCCGGTTTCCCGGTTTCCCGGTTTCCCGGTTTCCCGGTATCCCGGTTTCCCGGTTTCCCGGTATCGTATCCCGGTATCCCGGTATCCCGGTTTCCCGGTTTCCCGGTTTCCCGGTATCCCGGTATCCCGGTATCCCAGTATCCCGGTTTCCCGGTTTCCCGGTATCCCGGTTTCCCGGTATCCCGGTTTCCCGGTTTCCCGGTTTCCCGGTTTCCCGGTTTCCCGGTTTCCCGGTATCCCGGTATCCCGGTATCCCGGTTGTATCCCGGTTTCCCGGTTTCCCGGTTTCCCGATATCCCGGTATCCCGGTTTCCCGGTTTCCCGGTTTCCCGGTTTCCCGGTATCCCGGTTTCCCGGTTTCCCGGTTTCCCGGTTTCCCGGTTTCCCGATATCCCGGTTTCCCGGTTTCCCGGTTTCCCGGAATCCCGGTTTCCCGGTTTCCCGGTTTCCCGGTATCCCGGTATCCCGGCATCCCGGTTTCACCGTTACCCGGTTTCCCGGTTTCCCGGTTTCTAGGCATCTCGGTATCCCAGTATCCCGGTATCCCGGTATCCCGGTTGTATCCCGGTTTCCCGGTTTCCCGGTTTCCCGGTATCCCGGTTTCCAGGTATCCCGGTATCCCGGTTTCCCGGTTTCCCGGTTTCCCGGTTTCCCGGTATCCCGGTATCCCGGTATCCCGGTATCCCGGTTTCCCAGTTTCCCGATATCCCGGTTTCCCGGTTTCCCAGTTTCCCGGAATCCCGGTTTCCCGGTTTCCCGGTTTCCCGGTTTCCCGGTATCCCGGTATCCCGGCATCCCGGCATCCCGGTTTCCCCGTTACCCGGTTTCCCGGCTTCCCGGCATCCCGGTATCCCAGTATCCCGGTATCCCGGTTGTATCCCGGTTTCCCGGTTTCCCGGTTTCCCGGTATCCCGGTTTCCAGGTATCCCGGTATCCCGGTATCCCGGTATCCCGGTATCCCGGTTTCCCGGTTTCCCGGTTTCCTGGTATCCCGGTTTCCCGGTTTCCCGGTTTCCCGGTTTCCCGGTATCCCGGTTTCCCGGTTTCCCGGTATCGTATCCCGGTATCCCGGTATCCCGGTTTCCCGGTTTCCCAGTTTCCCGGTATCCCGGTATCCCGGTATCCCGGTTTCCCGGTTTCCCGGTATCCCGGTTTCCCGGTATCCCAGTTTCCCGGTTTCCCGGTTTCCCGGTTTCCCGGTTTCCCGGTATCCCGGTATCCCGGTATCCCGGTATCCCGGTTTCCCGGTATCCCGGTATCCCGGTTTCCCGGTATCCCGGTATCCCGGTATCCCGGTTTCCCGGTTTCCCGGTATCCCGGTATCCCGGTATCCCGGTTTCCCGGTTTCCCGGTTTCCCGGTTTCCCGGTTTCCCGGTTTCCAGGTTTCCCAGTATCCCGGTATCCCGGTATCCCGGTATCCCGGTTTCCCGGTTTCCCGGTTTCCTGGTATCCCGGTTTCCCGGTTTCCCGGTTTCCCGGTATCCCGGTATCCCGGTTTCCCGGTTTCCCGGTATCCCGGTATCCCGGTATCCCGGTTTCCCGGTTTCCCGGTTTCCCGGTTTCCCGGTTTCCAGGTTTCCCGATATCCCGGTATCCCGGTATCCCGGTATCCCGGTATCCCGGTTTCCCGGTTTCCCGGTTTCCGGGTATCCCGGTTTCCCGGTTTCCCGGTTTCCCGGTTTCCCGGTATCCCGGTTTCCCGGTTTCCCGGTATCCCGGTATCCCGGTATCCCGGTTTCCCGGTTTCCCGGTTTCCCGGTTTCCCGGTTTCCCGGTTTCCAGGTTTCCCGGTATCCCGGTATCCCGGTATCCCGGTATCCCGGTATCCCGGTTTCCCGGTTTCCCGGTTTCCTGGTATCCCGGTTTCCCGGTTTCCCGGTTTCCCGGTTTCCCGGTATCCCGGTTTCCCGGTTTCCCGGTATCGTATCCCGGTATCCCGGTATCCCGGTTTCCCGGTTTCCCGGTTTCCCGGTATCCCGGTATCCCGGTATCCCAGTATCCCGGTTTCCCGGTTTCCCGGTATCCCGGTTTCCCGGTATCCCGGTTTCCCGGTTTCCCGGTTTCCCGGTTTCCCGGTTTCCCGGTATCCCGGTATCCCGGTATCCCGGTTGTATCCCGGTTTGCCGGTTTCCCGGTTTCCCGGTTTCCCGATATCCCGGTATCCCGGTTTCCCGGTTTCCCGGTTTCCCGGTTTCCCGGTATCCCGGTTTCCCGGTTTCCCGGTTTCCCGGTTTCCCGAAATCCCGGTTTCCCGGTTTCCCGGTTTCCCGGAATCCCGGTTTCCCGGTTTCCCGGTTTCCCGGTATCCCGGTATCCCGGTATCCCGGCATCCCGGTTTCACCGTTACCCGGTTTCCCGGTTTCCCGGTTTCCCGGTTTCTAGGCATCTCGGTATCCCAGTATCCCGGTATCCCGGTATCCCGGTTGTATCCCGGTTTCCCGGTTTCCCGGTTTCCCGGTATCCCGGTTTCCAGGTATCCCGGTATCCCGGTTTCTCGGTTTCCCGGTTTCCCGGTTTCCCGGTATCCCGGTATCCCGGTATCCCGGTATCCCGGTTTCCCGGTTTCCCGATATCCCGGTTTCCCGGTTTCCCAGTTTCCCGGAATCCCGGTTTCCCGGTTTCCCGGTTTCCCGGTTTCCCGGTTTCCCGGTATCCCGGTATCCCGGTATCCCGGCATCCCGGCATCCCGGTTTCCCCGTTACCCGGTTTCCCGGTTTCCCGGCATCCCGGTATCCCAGTATCCCGGTATCCCGGTTGTATCCCGGTTTCCCGGTTTCCCGGTTTCCCGGTATCCCGGTTTCCAGGTATCCCGGTATCCCGGTATCCCGGTATCCCGGTTTCCCGGTTTCCCGGTTTCCTGGTATCCCGGTTTCCCGGTTTCCCGGTTTC